AGGGAAAGAATGCTGGGAAACCCCAAAAACCGAGAGAGGAGAGAGACTTTGGCTTGCCACTACGTTTTATAAGTAGTGACCACCTATCAGTTTTGCTCCAGATTAATATCGATTATGTTTTATTGCCTAGCGAGAAGGAAATTCTTGTTTCACCAGCAGCTGACTTATTAAGATCAACCAGTAGTGGAAGAAAGAGTATCTAGTACTCTGAACTCTTTTTCCTTGTATCGAAACCTGAAAGGCACCGGTTGTCTCCCAGAGTTATGAGTCCAACTTCTAAAGTTGTAGGAACCTGCCTTTGAGGCACAGTCACAAAAAAGAAAAACTATTGCTTCAGTAAAGAATCTAGTCCATTAAAAGGTACTTGCCACCATGTGCAAGTGATTTTGAGACCAATGCTGTAGTGGTTAAGTGTGTGGACTCTAATCTGCAGCTGCTGGATGACCTTGGGCAAGCCATAGTTCTGTCAGAGCTGTTCTTGAAAGAGCAGTTCTGGAAAACCGCTCTCTCAGCCCCACTTACCTCACAGGGTGCCTGTTGTGGGGAGGGGGAGGGGAAGGAGATTGTAAGCCGCTCTGAGACTCCGAGTGAAGGGAGGGATATAAATCCAATCTCTCCTCCTCCTCCTTCTTCTTCCCTGAGGATACTCAGCTCTGATTTAGCCACAAGCTGTGGGGTTGAGAACTAAGAAGGAAGACGCTAAAAGAAAGTTAATCCTTACCTTCCTTCCCTGGGATAGAGCTAGATTCGAGTCCTGTAGCACATTAGAGACCAACAAGATTATTTGGGGTTTAAGCTCTCTTTTTTTTGTATTTTTATGTACATGCATGTGTGTGAGTGTGCACAGGAAGTCATGGCGACCTCTGGTGACTGACCCCCACTGGGGGCCTGGAGAATATTCAGTGAGGTGGCTGAATAAAGCCTGCCCCTGCCTCCTGCCTCTGGTATTTCAAGGAGGTCTCCCATCCAAGTACTTGCCACAGTTGACCCTGCTTAGCTTCCAAGATCTGACGAGATTGGTCTTGCCTGGGCTATCCATCTTAGGACTGGGTTATAAGCTCTTGAGTGTCAAAGCTCGCTTCATCAGATATGAATAGGAATGAAGATTCCTGAGCTTTTATAACCCTCCCTAGGATGGTGATGCTGAATGAATCTGAGGGGGCGCGTGTTGAGTGCTCAGAGCAGTGTAGGTAGCCATGTGTTTCAGACAAAAGACAAAACTGGAAAGTGCAGTGGGGTTTTGGAATAGGTTCTGTCCTAACCGGGGTGTCAATTCTGTCAGGCAAAACACAAGGGCAAAGAGAAACAAAAGGAGAAGCACGTCCCCTTTCCTACTCTAAAATGCCTTGTGGTCGGTAGTATAAACACTGGGGTCCAGGCTTCCTCTTTGCTCTTCCAGCATCTCAGGGGCACAGCAAAGAGCCAGTGGCACACCCTTCTGGAAACCAACTTTCCCTGGGTCAGAAGGATTTGCTGGGAGTAGAGGAAAACAGGGAAGATCTAAAGATCCATAGCTGTCCGCACCTTCTACTGACAGATTGCTAGATCCTGGTCCCTGCTTTGTAGCAAAGGAGTAGCCATTGTGGTTATGTGGCCTGTGTCTGCCATGTAATGTATAAACGAGATTGGTCTTGCCTGGGCTATCCAGCTTAGGACTGGGTTATAAGCTCTTGAGAGTCAAAGCTCGCTTCATCAGATATGAGTAGGAGTGAAGATCCCTGAGCTTTTATATCCCTCCCTAGGATGGAGATGCTGAATGAATCTGAGGGGGGGGCGTGTTGAGTGCTCAGAGCAGTGTAGGTAGCCATGTGTTTCAGACAAAAGACAAAACTGGAAAGTGCAGTGGGGTTTTGGAATAGGTTCTGTCCTAACCGGGGTGTCAATTCTGTCAGGCAAAACACAAGGGCAAAGAGAAACAAAAGGAGAAGCACGTCCCCTTTCCTACTCTAAAATGCCTTGTGGTCGGTAGTATAAACACTGGGGTCCAGGCTTCCTCTTTGCTCTTCCAGCATCTCAGGGGCACAGCAAAGAGCCAGTGGCACACCCTTCTGGAAACCAACTTTCCCTGGGTCAGAAGGATTTGCTGGGAGTAGAGGAAAACAGGGAAGATCCAAAGATCCAAAGCTGTCCACACCTTCTACTGACAGATTGCTGGATCCTGGTCCCTGCTTTGTAACAAAGGAGTAGCCATTGTGGTTCTGTGGCCTGTGTCTGCCATGTAATGTATAGTTTAAGGCAGGGCTATTTTAGGGCAGGAACGCACAGGAATGGAGTTCCGGCTGGCTTCCGACCCTGCCCCTCCCCACTCCTCCCTCACCAAAAGCCCTGCTGTTGCAGTATTTGAGCGCATAGATTTTGCGTCAAGAATTGCTTCTCTTGTAATTCCGAATTTTGCCACTAGAGGCCTCTGCTGTGCCTCCCCACTAACTGGTCACTGCAATGCCTTGCTTCTCAATGCTCACTGACTGAGACCTCTGATTTGTGAAAAGACTGACCTTGGGGTCCCGTTTAGCTGTGGGACATTTGCTGCATACAGTCCTTTTTCCTCATTTTGAGGCTTGGTTTCAGTGTACTAAGCAGGTAGAAGAAGCAGGGGTGTGGCCTGTTATGCTAATGAGTTCCTGCTGGGCTTTTTCTACCAAAACAGTCCTGGTTTAAGGGGGTTTTAAGGCCTGGATTTGGGTTCTCTTAAGGCTCAGATTTGGGTTATTCGCTTTTTAAAAAAATATCATTTTATTGAAAGATCTATTGCAAAATTACAAAGCATATAAAGCAGGAGTGTCAAACATGCGGCCCAGGGGCTGGATCAGCCCCCCAGAGGGCTTCTATCTGGCCCACAGTGGAACTGGCTGTCTCCTGCTTCTTCTTCCAGTTCTGCTGCTGCTGCGTCATCATAGCTTGCTTTGCCAGACTCTCTCATTCACTCAGGAATGATAGATAGGCAAGCTTCTGTTCCCTGCACTGGCTGAGGCTCCTCCTCTCCCTTCCCCTTCCCCTCTCCCTTCCCCTTCCAGGGGGAGGGAGGGAACAAGCCAGAGCTTGCTTCCTGGCCAGGCTGCCTCAATCACACAGGAGAGAAAGGCAAGCCTTTCTTCCCTTCCATTGGCTGAGGCTCCTCCCCAAAAGGAGGGAGGGAAGGAGGGAGAGCTTGTTTTGCTTGACTGCCTCAATTGCATGGGAGAAATATAAAGCACCTTTAAGACCAACAAAGTTTTATCCAAGGTATGAAGTTTTGTGTGCCTTGCTACAGTGTGTGTGCTTTGTTGGGCTTGTTATGCCATGGCTCTCCTGGGAGTTTATATCTCTGCTACCTGGCATTACAATTTAGGACACACATGGCCCAGCCCAACAAGGTCTCATTTATGTCAGATCCAGCCCTCATAACAAATGAGTTTGACACCCCTGATACAAAGCATCATAGGTGCTGAAATATATATGAATGTTTTTACCAGTTCACATGCCAGCACAGCGCTTTGCAGTACTGAGTATAGAGTGTTTGGTGGGTTTTGTTATTTATATACAGTAGAATACAAGAATTAACAGCCTCCAACTGACCCATACAAATGCCTGGAGTTAGTATTATCTAGTAGGAGAGGTTAAACATTTTTATACTATTAATGCATATTCCAAGAACCCTTACCACAGTTTGTTTAAAATTACAGACCATTTTTCTAACAGAAGAAGAAGAGATTAAATTTATATCCCGCCCTTCACTCGGAGCCTCAGAGTGCCTTAAAAAATCCTTTCCCTTCCCCTCCCCACAACAGACACCCTGTGAGGTAGGTGGGGCTGAGAGAGCTCTGACAGAAACTGCTGTTTTCAGGAACAGCTCTGACAGAACTATGGTTTGTCCAGCAGCTGTAAGTGGAGGCGTGGGGAACAAACCTGGTTCTCCCAGATTAGAGTCCGTGCACTTAACCCCTAAGAGCTGCGGCGGCTCAAATGGTTAAGACGCTGAACTGCAGGCTATGGAAGGTCAGTAGTTCAGCAGTTCGAGGCCCAAGTGTGCCGCGTGACGGAGTGAGCTCCCGTCTCTAGTTCCAGCTCCTGCCAACCTAGCAGTTCAAAAGCAAGAAATTGCAAGTAGATAAATAGGTACCACTTCAGTGGGAAGGTAACAGCGTTCCATGCGCCTTGGTGTTTAGTCATGCCGACCACATGACCACGGAAACGTCTTCCGACAGCACTGGCTCTTCGGCTTTGAAACGGAGATGAGCACCGCAACCCTAGAGTCGGATTCGACTGGCTTTCGAGCAAGGGAACCTTTACCTTTAACTTAACCCCTACACCAGGCTTGAGTCTGATTGCTCTCAATACAATCTTAAATCCTATCAAGAATATGTTGTTTGAGTTTGTTAATCCACTGTTGTAAGGTAGGAACGTGTGTTTGGGTTATGCATGCCTTGTGTGACCTAGTTAGGAAACACCAGAGCAAGAAGTGGTCAGATAGCACCTCTCTCTCTTTTGCAGGGTCTGAGAAGAAGACTGTCGTTCCTCGGCATCGATACATGCAAGAGTGGGAGCAAAACTCAAGTAGAGGTAAACTCTCCTCCTTGATAGGGCAATG